GAGATTCAATTTTACCAGAGAAATTTCACTAAAATGTTAAGTTTTTCTACAGTCCACAATTCAAGGTAAGCCTAAAAAGGAGAAGAATTGAATATATGTAGGGTTTAGTGTGTTCAATGATTCAATTTTGTAGGGTTTAACATATTTGATTAAAGTTATCAGAGATTCAATTTTGACCAGAGAGTTTCCACCAATCGATTAAACTTTTCTACAAATGGGGAAATGAAATGGAAAAAAACAAAAATGCAGATTTAGTATGTTTATTCAACTCATCAAAAATTCAATTTTACCGAAGAATTTTCACTCAAATGTTAAGTTTTTCTACAATCCACAATTCAAGGCAAGCCTAAAAAGAGGAACAATTGAATATATGTAAGGCTTAGCATGTTCGATGATTCAATTTTATAAGATTTAGCGTATTTAATTCAAATTATCAAAGATTTAAGTTATCAGAGATTCAATTTTAACTAGAGAGTCTCCACCCATTGATTAAACTTTTCTACAAATGGGAATATGAAATGGAAGAAACAAAAATGCAGGTTTAGCATGTTGATTCAACTTATTAGAGATTCAATTTTATTAGAGAATTTTCACTCAAATGTTAAGTTTGCCTACAATCCACAATCCAAGGTAAACCTGAAAAGGGGAACTGATGCACCAAATACGCACTACTTTTAGGCAAGTGAAACTAATCGATTATGCAGTATAAGATGAGTAAGATATCGTTCCCTCGAGGACTATCCTACACTACCAAGATACTATTAATCTAACTTAAGTTGAATTAACCAATTAATGGGGAAAACTAAACTATTTAAAAGAAAACTAAGTAAACTAAGGAAATTAAATTAAAGAATTTTCTAAATTAAACAAACTATGAATGAGAAAGAACTAGGGTTTGGATTTCATTTAATTCTGAATTATGCAACTATTTCATTAATTTAATTCAAGTTCAAATAGTAGTGTTATCGCATGAGATGGCGGATTTTCCTAAATTAATTAACCAGCTTTCTCAAGTCAAGCTAATCCTTCATTTGTTTGCTAAATTAATCATATTTCTATGTAATTTTAAACAAACTAATGAGCATTAAATTCTATGGAAACCTTTAACTTAAGAAGGGGGAGCTACTAACTCTCTTCTCTTCCTCCACTATCACATGTGACCTAATTACCTCTCAATCTCATAGTCTAACACACGGTTTATATTATTATTGGTCTAATTTATACAATTTTTTCTCAAGTTCATACATAAATCACTAAATCAATTGAAAGGTGATTAGGCTCTTAATGCATTAAGTTTAATAATATAAACTCATCATGTAAATAACCAATAAATCATGAATTAAACTAACAAAAACAGTCCCATACTTCAAAAATTAAAATCCACCCATCCCTAGTTCAAAGAAATCTAGCCACACATGGTTATGTTCTCAATAGCCATGAAAAATAAATCCCAGCAGAAAATCATAGTAAAAAAAAAAAATCAGAAACAACAAAACCCAAACAATGGAGAATTGTAGTTTGCCGAATGTGGTGCTATTGTCCGGAAGCAAGGCTGGCGGAGAAGAAGCAAGATTGGGTGGTGTTGAACAGAGGCTGAGCGGCTTCTTTTCTTCCTCCAATGTGTTGAGCAATTTCGTGCGGCTGTGGGGCTTCCTCCCAATTATGCTGGGCGGCGGCTTTTCCTCCAATGTGCAGAGCAATCTTGTGCGGCTGTCGTCTTCTCACTTCTGCTGAGTAACATATATATATATATATTAAGAAATTAGAAACCCTTATTTCTTTTAACCTAGCAAACATGGGTTATGGGCTTTATTTTGGGTCTGGACTGCAATTGGCCCACACCTAGAAAACACAGCTCAAGTCTCTTTATTTCTACACTCTGTCCATTGTCAAAACCGTCCTCTTTAACTTAAATTCTGTATTGATATAGAAGGAATTGGGTTGAGCTCCTAAAACATCAATTGTAGCTATGCTTCTTAGCTTTCCAACGCCTAAAGAATCAACTCAATCCGATACCTAGAGAAAAAGATATGGTTAAATTACTGCAATATGTACAAATTGTCACTTATTGCAAAATTAATTCCTATCTTAATTTCCACCTATAAATAATGAATT